CGTGATTTTCCCATTCATTGAATTGGCGGGAAAATTAATACCATTGCTATCGATACTGTTATTATTGTTATTGATGTTATGATTATTAAATTGTCATTAGAATATTTTCCTAAAGTGAAGGAAAAGGGTAAACAGGTGAAATAGGTAGTTCTTGATAACTGGCTATTTGGTGATTAAGAACTTGTGGAGCCATCTATGTGTAAATACAATAAATAAATGTGTATCAAAGTGGGTATGGTATCTATTCTTGCCATGTGTGGCGAATGGGTTAACCGACTCACAACCTTTGAGGGGATCTTTCTCCTCAGTGATCACAGCAAACAAATTACTTTTTAACGTGCACAACATACAGCAGGATTGATCACATGACATGACTGGATGTCTCTAGTGTGAGAGTTGGTCAAACACATGATGATAGGACATTATCCCAGACTGAAGTGGTTAGGGAAGGCAAATGGGAAAAAAAAATTATGAGACCCAAACCAATCTCTGTGATGAAACACAATTTTAACAGTTACTTTATTCTCATTCTTCAAGTAAAGAGAGAGAGAGTGAGTGAGTGAGTGAGTGAGTGAGAGAGAGAGAGAGAGAGAGAGAGAGAGAGAGAGAGAGAGAGTGAGTGAGTGAGTGAGTGAGAGAGAGAGAGAGTGAGAGAGAGAGAGAGAGAGAGAGAGAGAGTGAGAGAGAGAGAGTAAGAGAGAGAGAGTGAGTGAGAGAGTGAGTGAGAGAGAGAGAGTGAGTGAGTGAGTGAGAGAGAGAGAGAGAGAGAGAGAGAGAGAGAGAGTGAGAGTGAGAGTGAGAGTGAGAGTGAGAGTGAGAGTGAGAGTGAGAGTGAGAGTGAGAGTGAGTGAGTGAGTGAGTGAGTGAGTGACCCAAACAGATATATCTTTTTTACATCATTGAACAAATAAAAAAAAAATTAAACTTTCCTTTTAGAGTTGCTAAAAAGACAAGCAACATAAGAAATTTAATATTTGGTTATTGTTAAGGTCAATTTTCACACAAAATTATCTAATATCCTTTACCTGCTACTCCCCCCCTTCCCGGCCCTTGCTCATTGTTGTCGTGGGGGACTTGGTCATTGGTCCTCAGCCCTCACCCCAACTAACATTGCATGATCTTTTCTTCTCCTTTCCTTTTCCTTTTCTTTATTCACTTGTTCTGTCCACTTATCCTAATTGTTAAACTCATTTTTGCCGTTTTCGCCACAGTAGTTTATCATAATGATCCTTACTCCCTTAACTCTTTACCCTTCTAACAACCTTTATTGTACCCCATCAGCTCCCCCTCTCTACCATACTATCCTCTAGTATTGTTCAACCTATCACTTTACCCTAATTATTAACTCTTTCCTAACCCATTTCGCTACTCTAATTTACCATAGTGCCATATGACCTTTGATGTCATATAGCACTTCCTTACCTTAGGCTTTGCCCCCAAGCCTCACGCCATCATTATATTTTGAATACACCATTAATGACCCTAGTTGTTGATGCGGCAGAAAAGTTTCAATAAACAATTAAATTTATCTGCTGAAAATGAAGTAAGATACTTTAGAAGAAAAAAAATCCAGTCAAAATAATCTACACATGTTGTTACTCACATGTTCAGTATCCATCTTGCTGGTCATGAATCTGAGGTGAACTGCAGAATATAAGTGAAATTGACCAAGGCAAAGCTTAATTTCAAATACCAGAACCTGAAAGATAAGCTTAAACTCAAAAAAAAAAAAAAAAACATGGCAATAATCACACATAAAACTGTTAATTTCACTTTCTACCCACTTCCCCTGATCAACCATTGAGAATTATATTAGAAAAAAAAGTTTGGTAATGGTTAATGGTCAAAATACCTTAAAGTACTATACATCAAAAGTCATATAGCTCTATGGTAAAGATATAAAAAGTATAGCACTACAGTAAAGTATTGTGACAAAAAGGGTAAAAATTATAATAATTAAAACCAACTTGTTAGATGTAAGAGGTCATAATGCAGCATTGGATAGTATGGTAGTGAAAAGGGTAAAGAGGGCAGAAAACGGGGTAAAGGGTTAAGGTCAGAGGGCAATTAGGTCAAGTGGAGGTTACTTATACATCTGAGGAAGGAGAACAAACTGTCAAAGGAAAAAGAGTGAGGGAAAGCAGAGGCACGGGCCGCAGTACAGCTAGGATAGGACAATAGAATGTGTGGGACTGAAAGAGGAACCATTATGAAGCAATTCATGGGTAATAAGGATAAAAATGGGTACTGGAGAAGAACCTGAGGAATTAGACAGGAACCAAGGGAGGAAGGTGAAGTATCAGGAAGAAGGTCAGGGTGGGAAAAATCTGGAGAAGAGTGTTCTCATGGGCCATGTTTAAGAAATTTTGGATGTGATCACAAGTTTCTGGAAGGGTTGGGTGGGGAGATCTGAAAAACAAAGGTTTTCTTTTGAAGAGGATAATAGGAGATAAAGGGGCAGGCAACAGGGAAGTGTAGAGATTGTAGTATCTGGATTTAGAATGGCAAATTAATTTGACTGGGAGAGAGGGGTTTAAAGCATACTTCCTATTTAGCCTAGCACAGAGTGAGGCCAGGGTAAATAATGCATGAGCTTAGGACTGTAACTGTGACATGTGAACAATTGGAACAGCTGTCAAAAGGAAACTTTGTCTACTCGTTTTTGAAGATATTTGTGGAAGAGAAGGGTATTGGCATAGTAAGGGACTGAAGGGGGAATCACAATAAAATCACTGCCATTCAGCTAGGCTAAAAAGAGTATTCAAAACATCTGTAGCAGTGTAAGTAGTAGAGGGACGATGATGGAAGGAAGAGGGAGTGGTAGGGAATGAAGTAGTACTGGGGGGAGGAAGACAATGAGGCTGATGTGTAGTAATAAGGGAGGAGGGGGCAGAAAATGAAAACTTTGCAGGAGATGGAGTAGGGAGGGAGGGAGGGATGTATTCTGAAGGTTGAGTAATAACCAGTGGTCGAGGCCATAATCAAAGGAGAGTCAAGGGTCATGAAACCAGAGAAGTTATTTCAGATAGGTTAGCCGTTAAGGGGGTAAGCCTCAGTGCCCCTAATGAGGGTACTAAATATTCATTATTGGCCATGGTGAGTCTGAAATAGGATAATTCTAGAGGCACAAACTTTCTAATTTTCGAAAATATGCATACAAGAACTCACTTGCTCTATTGAAAACATATGAGCTGACCTGACCAGTTGACACCAGGTGTGAATTGGTCAGGTGGCATCTATCTTTTCCCTAAAGCACCAATTCCATGGCACATGTGGTTGAACCTGTTCTATGTTCTATGTACTAAACTTAATGTAAATCTAAATTTAAAGTCAGCCTGTTTCCACTGGAAGGTTTCTATTGTTGCTGTGAAGCACTGAGTTAATTTGCTACATGATGCCCTGTGGCTGAGTCTGCTGTGCATGCTAAGCAGTTATTTGTTTGTTTGGCCCTGTCTGTGATCACCTTTCAAAATGGAACTGAAATCTTTCTGCATTCTCTTCTATTGAAAAATCACAACTAAAATTATAGACCACAAGGAAAACCTACATATCCAGTACTTCTAATTTATCCTTCAAACCAAGTATGTAGCACCCAGACCATGCCTTTGTTTGCTGTGCGTAAAAGCTGTCATCATGAACAATGGAATACCATTGAGTGGAGCTAAAGATACGACCAACGATGACTGATGAAAATCCATTTCTATTTCAAAGGTAAAAGAAAGACAAAAATATTCATGTAATTATTATTAAAAAAGAAATGCTTTCAATGCAGTGGTAAAGGTACATAATCACAAATGGTACAGAATATGTGTGGTTAGTATCCCTGTGATATTTCTAGTATTTTACCTCAAAAAGTAAAGGTATGAATGTGCTTAATTTTACTATAAAAATTTACACATATAAAAACAACCTCTACATATACAGAGTTTACAAAAGCTATATAAAAAAAGAAAAAAAGTTATAAACATGTGATGATAGTGTCTTGTTATTTATTTTGTCTTGTTTTTGTTTAGAAAATATATTCTAAACTGAAAAACAAAGAAAAGCAGCAAATAGAATAATAAACAAAAATTACAAAATAAATATATGGACAACTAAAAAAAATTATCAATCCTAATTTCTTTCTGTAATTACTTGCACAACAATTTCCTCATGCAATGCACAAACACATTTTAGCTTTTAAACCGTTTTGCATCCTTATGATGACCAATTCAATTACCAATTACCAAAACAAATAACTTAAATCAATCCTTTCCATGTGCTAAATCCATTTAACACCAAAATGACTTTCTTTTTGGGCAAACTGTATATGACAAGGATGAATCAGCATTACAAATAAATGTCTTCAAGAAACACAGACAGTTAGCATTATCAAAAAAAAAAAAAAGAAATGGATGTGAAAGCAACCACACGTACAAATTGTCGTTACTTCGGCCACAAAAGCAACTTATTATGATTTCAGTTCTTAAAAATGAGATCATCAGGTACTATATTTGTATACAACAGCCCTACTGAGGCATATATTACTAAAATCTGATCAATCAAATCATTGGTTATTGGGCTATAGTGACCTATGACAAGAAATTATACAGAAACAAAACAAAACAAAAATTGTAAGCAACAAAAATGAAATGAAAGTAATGACTACAATTATAAATAAAATTATGCAATAATGGGGAAAAAAATCAAAGAGAAATGCTACCCTGCACCCATTTCATCCTCTACTTCTAACAGACAGAAAATTATGCTTGTGATTCATGGCTATCCATAGAGAGGAAAAAAGAAAAACTGGAAAAAAAATATATCGGATAAACTGCTATATAACAAAAGACGGAATTTACAGCATAAACCAAAAGTCACTGAAGATAAGCTAGTAAAACAGTACTGATAAATAAATGCTTTTAATAAAATAATACTCTTAAAATTACTACAAAACAAGATAATTACAAGAAAATGTCATTAGAGAAAATGGGAAAAAGCAGAATATCAAAAGACCAGAAAATGTTATAAAAGTTTATTACTTATGCAATTTACATTTAAATAATGCATCTCCATCATTCTATCTATCTGGATTTTTAATACCTGTAAGACAATAAAAATTGCATCTTCCTAAACATTAATGATATCTCCAAAGTGTGTCCTTACTACATTTAATATCTATAAAATTATAAAATACTCATAACAAAAGAAGTGTGCCGTACAGTTGGGGAAAAGAAAGAAAAAAAAATTACACACGACTAATTTTGACCACCTACACTCCTTGCAAGCAAATCGTGCTAACAGTTAACATTAAAAATTTCTCTTTAGAAAGTACTTTTTTGTACTGAAGTTAAGCCAGTGGTACTCAAGATTACTGCAATGTTCTAGAAACATTCTAAACTATGTACTTGAGCATTCCAACTCATTGACAATCTTGCTCTTTAATGTGGACACAAAAGGCCTCTATCGAAGTGAACATCTTCCGTCCCACTAATTTACTTTATGTGCTTTGTTTTCCCTTCAACTGGCATGGGGCTTTTCTTGTGATGTCTTATATTTTTCTTAAACAATTCACTAATGTTATCAGCTGCATTTTTCCCATAATCTTCTTTCAATAAACATTTGCAGTAAGCTGTTCTGTGGCTTCACTGATGGCTACAACTTTTCAGAGACATATTTGATATCTGATCATGATCTATTATGCAACAGATATGAATCCCCTTCTTTGGCTTGATGCAATCAGAATGTTTTCATTTGCTGGTTTTGAGCCCAATATGTGAACAATGAAACTCATCTGAGTGGACCGTCACATGGGTGTCATCACTGTATGCCAAATCTCTCTGCGCGCTTCTTCTTCATTTCATCTTCTGAGGAAGTTGATGAGGCAAATCTTGCTGCTCTTGCAGCCTTAGCATCATCTGGGCTGGTTCTGCAAACAAAGCTAATCTCAGGAAACACAGATAAAGAAACACAGATGTTGGTAAAGTACTTATCAAACTGTGTATGTGAAAAGGGGCTTTGTTGCTAGCAATGGATTGGATACTTAAACACAGATGGAGAATGCAAACAGGCCAAAGTAAAGATAGTATATGGACATTAGGATATTTATATATGATATAGGGAAAATTTCAACTCTGTACTGTAAACTTAATGTTAGTAGCACCACATAAATATTGCAAATCATAAACACCATTTTCCACTCAATTCTGTTATCATAAATTAGAGGTTCATTCCTTTTAATCTGTAAGACTGAGAGACTTGGTGAACACAATGGAATCTGCACTTTTGAAAAAGATGTAAAGCTATCTAAAGTTTCAAACAGCTGAACAGCTTATTTCCCAGTAAAAATGCTATCAGACATAAATTAGCAGCTTCTCTGACCAACTGAAGTGCTTTGATAATCATCATAATACATATTTTTATTACAATCTGTGCGGTATTTTCATTACAATTAGCAGTGTAGTTTTATTATCATTAGTACTGTTTTTCATACACTGTCTATCAAACTATCACACATTAACAGCAAGCATCAGTTAAGAGTTTACTATTTCTAAAGATATCACTGACATGCAAGACAAGTCTTGGAAGTTAGATCCCTTTATTTTCTTTTAGATACCCAGAAAAAATGTGTAAAAGTATATATACATTTCATACTCACATGGCTTTTTTTTCTGTCCCAGCTGTCTTTGTTTCAGTTCCTCCAGCACCAAATCTCTCTTGCCTTTGCTTCATTTTTTCCAATTCCGAAACCTGGATTATAATTATAAAAAAAAAAGGGGGGTTGGAAAGGATGGAAAAAAAATCTAAATGCAAGAGTCTGTTCAACCTATCCAGTCACTGTGGGATGACAGACACTGGGGTATAGCAGTGGATGTGCCAATATTTCATGAGTATGGGTAAACAGTTTTTCAAAATAAACGCATGAAAGAAGTTCGCATTCCGTGGATAGCATGGAGAGGTTAGCCGAGCTGGGTTATGTGTACATGGACAAGGTGTGGGGAGCTAGTGAAGCAGGCAGGTTTGTGGGAAGAGGTCAGGGTAAATCAAACCCAGTGTCTGCCAACCACATGTCTACCCATGAGGAGCTAAACACTAATATGGATGAATGATTCACTTATGGTAACTGCATAGAAAAGTATAACATACTTATACCAGATTTAACATACATTACAGGTTACCTTTGTGAGTGACTTGGAAGTTACTTCTCCAAATCGCTTGGCACGTGCTTTCAACTTCTCAATGTCTGTCCCCTGTAAGTAGTAATTAATAATATACTATTAACATCAAACAAATACTCATGAAAACCTGAAATAGTCAGCCAGAATTATAGGTGAAATGTTAAATCAGATATATTTGCTAATTTGCAATCACCATCTCTACTCTCTGCATAAATGCTTCTACCCTCAATTCATTCTAAAGGTCACTTGTGCAGAAAAGCCAAAAGCAGTTTCCTTTATTCTAACAATATAATTATATAACTATATCATTATCACATTCACTTATTTACCTCCCCATATGGGAACTACCTTACCCCTGTTTCCATAGACAGCTTGGCAGGTTTCTTGTTGACAGCTGTTGTGGTACTGTTACCAGCAAAGCGTTCTGCCCGAGCCTGCTTTCTGGCTTCTTCGTTCAACGGAATGCCAAATCTTTCAGCTCTTGCCTCAATTTGCTGATGTAAAAGGAAGGAAAAACTATAAACCTTAAAGCTGAAGTTGTTGGAGCCCATCAGTTTGTAAACGCAGGATAAAAGAGATACGAGATCCTGACAACACAACCATATTCACAGAAGAAGCTGGATAGGAATCAATCAAAAAAGCAACACAAAAGCTGAGAAACACTCACAGTCTTGTTCTCAGTGGAGCTCAGTCTGATGAGCTTCTTGGAAGGCACGCCATCCTCTTGACCCTCACTCTGGCTTTCGGGCGAAGTATTTTCCTTGGAGGCCTCTGTGGGAGGGGGGGTGGTTGGGGCTGTGGGCACTGGAGGCTCAGATCTCTTCAGGCTGATTTTCTTCTTTTCTGGCTGTTCAAGCATTGTGGACACCTGGTTGAGATCAGTTGTATTCAGTTCCTAATGAGATAAAGGTGTAAGTACAAACAACTGTTTCAATATGATAAATTACACAACATGCTGAAGTAAAAATACAGGTATGTGAGATACCCATTCCATCTTAGAGAATTATTCCATCAACACTCAATCCCTTAGATCCGGGCACTTCGCTGACCGCACATGGCCTAAAATCCGGGCATTAAACTTCCTTGAGCAGCCATCCTAAAGGGTGTGGCTTGTAAAACCAGCACACATGAACACTCATGTGCGGTGAGAAGACAATTTGTTATTTGTTTCATTCTTTTTATTTTTCGTAATATTCAATTTTCAATATTACGTGTGCTGCCACTCACACCAGGCAGGAACTCATTCATCAATGGAAATAATTACCACTGAGATCAATCACCCCCCAAGAGTTTTGTGCACTAGTGGAGTCATTTCCGTCACCCCACCTTTCAGCCAAAATTCTTTTGATGGCAAGTTCCCCTCGTCTCACCCTCAGCAAAATCTTTCCATGACGGCATGTTCCCGTCACCTGCCCCTCAAGCTAAATCTTTTCATGAGGTGATGGTTACATCATCTGGATCATAGGGGTTAAGAACTTACTTCAGTATTTCTATGCTCTCTTTTTAGCAACCACAATGCATTTGCAAATGCATTTTATTTTACTTTATGGCTATTTTTTCCTCTTCTTTAAGATCTGGTAGTTAATTTTCATGATGTGATGATAATACTATGAAATACTTATACACGTATCAAATCAAATTTCAATTCAATCTGGTTGATGGGACCATCAAGTCATGAAAAAAATATGGTTGAGTGCCAGGTGAAGAGAATATGCCGCCATGAAAATATTTGGCTGAGGGCTGGGATGATGGGAACTTGTCATGATGAAAAATTTGGCTAAAGGCCAGAGTAAAGAGAATAAAAGGAATAGGTGCACAAAGTTCATGGAGGAAGATATTTTCCACCTGAAAATGAGGGTAAATGTATCACCCATGATCCATGGCTGAAAGAGCTCTGGCATAAGAAAAGACACCATTTTCATGCTCAGGATCCAATTCCTACTTGCCATGACTGGCACCAGGTGTGTTACAGAAAATTCACTATCACGAAAATATTTTTTAAATGTTACTTATTGTTAGTATCACTGCAGTTATAGACTATCGAGAGAGATGATATGAACTCTGCAGAAGTCTGTAAAATGAGAACTATTTATTGCATTCTTGACATAGCATATAAAATGACAAATATACACTTTGTAAAATCTCAAAAATGCAAAAAACTCTCATGCTGGAGATAAACACAATGCAAAGAGGAGGCAAGGATTCTTCATGTGGGCTGGAACTAAAGCCACACACCAGGGAGAGTCAGCACTCAAGTAAGCCTAATGCTCAGATTTCAGGACACGTGTGGGAACGGAGGCACCTGCATCCAACAGGCAAAAGAAATAACATTTATAGATATGACAGGCAAGTGAGCTCTTGATTCCAAAGCCATATGCCTACAAACCTGAGGGAGTGAGACACTCTGAATCTAGAATCTTGTGCAGAGATAAGAATATCTTATCAAAAGCTGCATATGGCACTAATATTTGATAACACAGTTGGACAGATACAAGTATTAAGAATTAACAAAGAACAACAATCCATACTGACACTTTAACGAAGACCAATGCAGTCTACTTACATCTCGGACACTGATGTTGACCCCCAAAGCTGCTGCTTCCTCCTGGGGGGTCAGCTTCCCTATGTCTACAGCATCCATATCATCACCTCCGAGGATCTCCTCTTCATCAAACTCTTCGTCCTCGCCATCTACTGTGCCCAGAGGAACATTTCCATCTGTGAAGCAAGTGCAAGTGTAAAGTAGGAGTGTTTGATCACAAAAACTTGACCTATAATTTTATGAATCTACTCTTACCACATATAAAACAACAGACAAATATTAATTTCATTAAAATACAGTATAACAATATAAACAAACAGTTAACCCATTTCCCAATACGCAAGCCCTCTCTTCTGGGCTGTATTCATAGTGGCCCGGGCCATGCTGCCGGGGACTCATATCGTCACCACAGCGTGCACAGCATGACTGTATATGCCACCGGAAAACAGGACCGACGCACCATGGCACGTATGTGCCACCTGGAATATAGTCCAGGCATGCCATGCAGCAGGAAAGGGTTAAATATGAATAAATCTCTTTCTCACAATCTCTCTCTCTCTCACTCTCTCACTCTCTCACTCACTCGCTCGTTCTCTCACACGCTCGCTCTCTCACTCACTCGCTCACTCACTCAATTTCGTAGGATCCCATATAGCATAGCCTAGATCAGTCCATACATAAACTCCACAACTTACCAGCTTCTAGAGCTTCTTGTAGCCTCTCCACCAGCTCATTTTTGTTGCCTGTCACAGGTAAACCTCTCGCCTTCAACTCCTTCTTCAGGTCAGCGACCTAGAGAAAAACAAGATAGATAATGTTTCTCACACTCCAACCAGAAAATGATTCTTGACAGTTCTTGGGAGGCATTTATCTCTGATATATGAGGTCATTCAAATTTCTAATGCAGAGAAGCCTGGCAATGTAGAAGTAAAAAAAGAAAGAACAAAGTGTGATTAGTCAGCACCGATGGTTTAAGGAAAGAAAAGAGAAGAAATGAGCACTTAACTTTAATTTATAAAATAAAAGCAAAGGAATGTTGTTCCTTGAACAAAGGTAAATTTAATGCTGGCTATGCTACATTTGATGAGTCAGATCACACATAAATATTAATTTCTATTGGTGTACATCTTTTGGGAAGAGGATGTATATAAAGAAATCCAGATAACTTCATGTTTACAGAAAAATAAAAATAATATAATAATAATAACAATAATAATAATAATAATAACAATAATAATAATAATAACAATAATAATAATAATAATAACAATAATAATAATAATAATAATAATAATAACAATAATAATAATAATAACAATAATAATAATAATAACAATAATAATAATAATAACAATAATAATAATAATAATAATAACAATAATAATAATAATAATAACAATAATAATAATAATAACAATAATAATAATAATAACAATAATAATAATAATAATAATAACAATAATAATAATAATAATAATAATAATAATAATAATAACAATAATAATAATAATAACAATAATAATAATAATAATAATAACAATAATAATAATAATAATAACAATAATAATAATAATAACAATAATAATAATAATAACAATAATAATAATAATAATAATAACAATAATAATAATAATAACAATAATAATAATAATAACAATAATAATAATAATAACAATAATAATAATAATAATAATAATAATAACAATAATAATAATAATAACAATAATAATAATAATAATAATAACAATAATAATAATAATAATAATAATAACAATAATAATAATAATAACAATAATAATAATAATAATAATAATAATAACAATAATAATAATAATAATAATAACAATAATAATAATAATAATAATAACAATAATAATAATAATAACAATAATAATAATAATAATAACAATAATAATAATAATAACAATAATAATAATAATAATAATAATAATAATAACAATAATAATAATAATAATAATAACAATAATAATAATAATAACAATAATAATAATAATAATAATAATAATAATAATAACAATAATAATAATAATAATAATAACAATAATAATAATAATAATAATAATAACAATAATAATAATAATAATAATAATAACAATAATAATAATAATAATAATAATAATAATAACAATAATAATAATAATAATAATAATAATAATAATAATAACAATAATAATAATAATAATAATAATAATAATAATAATAACAATAATAATAATAATAATAACAATAATAATAATAATAATAATAATAATAATAACAATAATAATAATAATAATAACAATAATAATAATAATAATAATAATAATAACAATAATAATAATAATAACAATAATAATAATAATAATAATAATAATAATAATAATAACAATAATAATAATAATAACAATAATAATAATAATAACAATAATAATAATAATAATAACAATAATAATAATAATAACAATAATAATAATAATAACAATAATAATAATAATAATAATAACAATAATAATAATAATAATAATAATAACAATAATAATAATAATAATAACAATAATAATAATAATAACAATAATAATAATAATAACAATAATAATAATAATAACAATAATAATAATAATAACAATAATAATAATAATAACAATAATAATAATAATAACAATAATAATAATAATAACAATAATAATAATAATAACAATAATAATAATAATAACAATAATAATAATAATAATAATAATAACAATAATAATAATAATAACAATAATAATAATAATAACAATAATAATAATAATAACAATAATAATAATAATAATAATAATAATAATAATAATAATAATAACAATAATAATAATAATAACAATAATAATAATAATAACAATAATAATAATAATAATAATAATAATAATAATAACAATAATAATAATAATAATAATAATAACAATAATAATAATAATAATAACAATAATAATAATAATAACAATAATAATAATAATAACAATAATAATAATAATAACAATAATAATAATAATAATAACAATAATAATAATAATAACAATAATAATAATAATAACAATAATAATAATAATAATAACAATAATAATAATAATAATAATAACAATAATAATAATAATAACAATAATAATAATAATAACAATAATAATAATAATAACAATAATAATAATAATAATAACAATAATAATAATAATAACAATAATAATAATAATAAAAATAATAATAATAATAATAATAATAATAACAATAATAATAATAATAACAATAATAATAATAATAACAATAATAATAATAATAACAATAATAATAATAATAACAATAATAATAATAATAATAATAATAATAACAATAATAATAATAATAACAATAATAATGATAATTAATAATAACAATAATAATAATAATAATAATAATAATAATAATAATAATAACAATAATAATAATAATAATAATAACAATAATAATAATAATAATAATAATAATAATAACAATAATAATAATAATAATAATAATAATAACAATAATAATAATAATAACAATAATAATAATAATAATAATAACAATAATAATAATAATAATAATAATAATAACAATAATAATAATAATAACAATAATAATAATAATAATAATAATAATAATAACAATAATAATAATAATAATAACAATAATAATAATAATAACAATAATAATAATAACAACAATAATAATAATAATAACAATAATAATAATAATAATAACAATAATAATAATAATAATAACAATAATAATAATAATAATAACAATAATAATAATAATAATAATAATAACAATAATAATAATAATAATAACAATAATAATAATAATAACAATAATAATAATAATAATAACAATAATAATAATAATAATAACAATAATAATAATAATAATAATAATAATAATAATAATAACAATAATAATAATAAAATATTAAATGATACACCTACTGCATCCCCTGCAACCCCCAACCCCTGCCCTGGAGGACAAGCAAACTCCACTTGCTTGCAGCATATTAGAGATGGAACTATTTCTAAAGGGGCTTTACACTAACTTGTGATTTTAAGATGTGTCTGTGATGTAATAAGGGGGTCACAGCCCAGTGCATCAACAAAAACATTCAAAACATACTGCTGGGGGAGATGGCAATAGAACCAGTAATGGAAGGAAACACATTAACCATGCAGAGAATATCAGGATCTGACACTTGATGGTATGCTATCATGTGTTGATCATGTGTGTGCCGTTTCATCTACAGAGTCGTCACACCAATAGGAACAAGAGTTTCCCCTCCTACTTTGAGGGCCACAATTGGAATGACATGGGTCTGTTTGTAGACTTGTGGCCACATTTCTAGAAGATGTCAAAAATGGCTCAGTGTGAGGGTGGGTGTTCTTGGGTGCTTTGTGATTTCATGCATGTCAAGTGCAGTAGCCATGATGCACTGTTTGAGCTCTGCTAGTCATGGTCTATACCATAGAAAAAAATAGCTCTCTGCACCATACATCTGCATCTGAAACTCACAGGTTAGTGCAACCCCCTTGCTTGTCTTCCAGAGGTTTGGGAGGCAGGGGGTTGCAGAGGACAAAATCCCCTTTATTTGATAATGTGCTGGCCTTCAATACCTTTACATTTTACCCTGCAATTTCTATGCTAACCTACATGCCCTCCTCTACTACCAGGGTAAAGTTTGTGGTGTCTAAGGTGGGTTTAACAGCCATAAATTCAGCATAGTAATAACAGGTGAAGAGTAGTGCATGAGAGGAATACATAAGTACCACCATAATCATGGTCCACGGTGCACAAGTGTTTGGAATAGTTACCAATACAAGTACGGTTTTGGTAATTTCATACTAAGGCCATGAGTCACCAGTGCAAATGACTTTAGTATCAATATCTTGCATCTGGCACATACTGTCCAGATATAAAAGTGTTAATTCACTATGAAACCAAATATAGTGCTATTAGCAATAACTATAACAGAACAGCATAAAGAATCTGTTAGCAGTGAGGTAACTGGTAACAAACCATCATCTAGCATATCTTTGAAAAACAGAACTTGTACTTGTGTTATCATCAAATTTAGTAAGAGGCCAAGCCTTATCTAGCCAAAATATATGTGATGGAAGTTCGCTTGAGTTCTGTAGGCACACAGACCCTGGTGATCAGTTAAAGACATGATTCTGTTAAGGTTACTATCAGCTAACACTGTTATTTGCATGATATTAGCATAAATTACAACTGTCATTAATATCTTCTCTTGCAGATTTTACTCTCCCGAATACATTACATTTGTTTTTGTTTTTTTAACTAAAACTCTAAACAGTGCACATCAAATGCACGGAATTACCAAAGTCTTTAGACAGCCACATTCTAGAACTTTTATTCTCCTAATGTGCATCAAAACTTAATTTATATCACCGTCTATTCTTTAAGCCTTTGGAACTTTTTTTTATAACTATCAAAACCCATTTGAAACTTGCTTTGATCTGCATTAGTGCTACTACTTGATGTATAATTAAACACCAGTCCAAGCTCTATCTCAAAATAATATACAGAGGTGTAGGAATGTTGACTTTGCCGAAGTGCTAAAGGTGCAAACGCTACAGTGATAATTTTTCATTGTGGCCCTAATGTGTTGGAAGTCAAACAATATACTCT